AAACATTTCGGAATGGAGACACTGGAATTATGTAAGAACCGGAAGAGAGAATAAACAGCTGCAAACTGTCACCATCTAGATTTGACACAGCCATTGCAATCATAAACTCACAATTATGGTTACCTGCTCTGGGCCTTCACAAGAGGAAAGACTCATGGGTCTCTAGCTCCTAATGCTTAAGTATTGGCTATCGATAGATTCTGAAAGAGAAGGAATCATTGTCTTCAGTTTTATACCCACTCCTGAGCACACTTGGCTCCAACAGATAGCTCCAAAACCATGGTTGCAAAAATGGCTCTTTGTAAGCCAAGAGGGTCAAACAACAACAACAACAACAAAAAAATGGACATTGATATGAGTACACAACCCAGTCATCTTTAGAAACACCACCACAGACAAATCAAGAGATGCACTCTATTCATAATCCCTAAGCATCTCTCAAGACAGTTCACAATGGTATTAAGATTAACCACAGTGCAATAAAAGCATCTTCGGACACTATGATCACATCTGCCCTCGACCTTCTTAAGAGGTCCTTCCTTTCACCAGATGAACAGAAAGTCTTATAAGTGTGAGCTTGAGTCTAAATGCCAGCTTTTCAATGTATGATCTTGGACAGGCTCCTTACCTCTCTGAGCTTCCGTTTCCTTCCATGGAACAACTAATCATTTGCTATATGTTTTTGAGACTATTTGATTAACAAGGAGCAAAGTGGCATACCTACTGTCTCAGTCAGGGTTTCTAGTACTGTGATGAAACACCTTGACCGCAAAGCAAGTTAGGAAAGAAAGGCTTTATGGCTTATATTTCCACAGCACTGTTCATCACTAAAGGAACTCGAACAGGACAGGATGCTGGAGGCAGAAGCTGATTCAGAGACTATAAAGAAGTGCTTGCTTCCCCTTGGCTTATTCAGCCTGCTTTCTTATAGAACCCGGGACCACCAGCCCAGGATGGCACTACCCACAATAGGCTGGGGCTTCCCCCATTCATTGCTAATTAAGACAATGCCTTACAGCTGGATCTTTTGGGGGGCATTTCCTCAACTGAGATAGCCTTGTTTCAGATAACTCTAGTATGTGTGTCAAGTTGACACAAGAGTAGCCAAAACACTTACTTCTTGCTACTAATTAGGAGATCTTGGGCAAGCTAACTAACTTCTCTGTGCTTTGGTTCCCTTCTAAGGGAAATACAAATTGAAATGGAATCTGCTTTATACGGTTGTCATGAGAAAGCACATTGCTCTGTATCTGTTTTAGACCAAGTTCCTTTGCTATAACAAAATACTAGAGACCAGATAGTTCATAAAAAATATAAATTTATTTGACTCACATTTCTGGGGACTAGGGAGATCAAGAGTATGGTACTGGTGTCTGATAAGGCATCAAACTACTTCTTAATCTGAAGGAGGATGTATTACAGCTTGGCAGACACTCTTTCCTCTTTTCTAAAGTCAGTAAAGTGATCATGGAGACCTAACTTTCATGAGCCCAACTTATCATGAGCCCAAGTGACAATACCATTAACATATTAACTTGAGGGTTGGGTTTCCAACACATGACCTGTTGAGGAATGTACTCTAACTTACGCAGCATCAATAAGTGTTGATAAACTCCCTATTGTACAGTTAGGGTTTATCTTACTTATCTTCCTTTCTTATAAGCACCATCTATTTTCAGGTGTCTGTAGTGTACAGCATATAAATTCTTCATTAATATTCTGAAAAATATAGAGGTGTCAGAGCTAACACTGGCACCTGCAGAGGTAAATTGACGTACTTTAAACCAGCTGCCTGTTGTATAATTTTTGCATATTTCTTATGCTCTTTTAAATTTTCTATTGTTTTCAAATATATGTGCAAATAGCTTATTGTTGGGGAAAATAAGCTTTCCCTTTTAATTAGGGGAAGGTTGGATACAATGGTGAATGCCCTATGATCCAGCAATCATAAAGTCAAGGCAGAAGGATCACAAATTTGAGCCAGCTAAGACTGGCCATACTGAGACTCTGTCTAAAAACAAAAACAAAAAAATAATGACAATTATGCAAAGGCAAAGACTAAAAGGGTGTTGGAGCATATAGTCAGATTTATAGGCTAAGAAAAATGCAGTGTTAAAGTTTTTCTGCATTGATTCAATGTATCTGTGTGGAGGAGTGGAAAAAAATTTCATTTTAAACTCTTAATGTGAAATTTTAAGCTTAGTTTCCTGTAAAGTCCTCATGTGTATCTAGTCTTGAAGAAAAACAAGATACTCCTGCCATTTGACTTCACAGATACTGAAAGAGAGATAAGTTCTTGTCCAGAGTAACGTTCGCCTGTAACCATGGTAACATGGTAGAATGCTAAAACAAATCAATATCTAAGCAGGTTGCTCTGGACGGACTTATCGGGCAATGCTCCCATCTCTCTGAGAGGTTATAGCTATGCCCTTTTGGATTAGAGAAGTGCTAGAAAAGGCCACACAATACCCCTTTGAGTCATAAGGCAGGATTAACCTTGCTTTCATGCCTTCAGAATTTGAAACCAACTGATATGTTGATTCTGGGTATATACAGCACCTGCTAGATTCTAAGTTCAAATCCTGGCACATGCCAGGATCTATCTTTCTCTTTCTCCAAATCAGATGTAGCTCTCTGCTACTGTTCCAGTGCCATGCTCCTTGCCATGAGGATAATTAACTGACCCTCTGAAACTGTAAGCCCTCAATTAAATGACTTCTTGGTCATGATGTCTCTTCACAGCAATAGAACAGTGACGTAGACAGATCCCATGATAGCTGTGGTGACTCCATATTCTGAGATGGAGAAGGCTGGCGGTAATAATTCTTGTAGTAATTCTTATATTTAGATGACCTGGGCATGAAAAGGCTATCCATGCCAGTTAGGGTCCATTGCTTCACTTTAAAAAAATAGCTGGTTTGTAATTCTGCTGGCCAGAGGAGGCAAAATGGTGTCTGCATCTGCTCCCAGTTTCCACCCTACATGAACATCCAACTCCTCATGCTCTACAAATCACACTCAAACCATATCAACCTGTGTCATTGTTAAATTTCCTTCCCTCACCAGGTGCAGTGGTGCCTCCCTTTAATCCGAGCACTCGGGGAGGCAGGTGAATCTCTGAATTCAAGGCCAGTCTGGTCTACAAAGCAAGTCAAGGACAGTCAGGGCTACACTGAGAAACTCTGGCAAAAACAAACAGACAAACAAACAAAAAATTCTTCTGTCTGCCAGCACAGACTATAACATGAGGCTTTGAGAAATAAGCAAGCTCCAAATTCTCTAAAGAGTATGCTAAGGAATTCTGATCAGGTAAGCTATGCTATAGCAGAAGACTTCAAAGCTAATGGCACTGGTACTACACTCACAAACCAAGTTAAAACCCTAAACTGTTCTGCCATTCAGAGCTTTTGCTTTGCTTTATTGAATTTCCCCAACACATCAACTACAAAAAGATTTTCTGTTTATTCTTTGAGACTCTTGTACATGTATATATGAAAACATATCCACCTCTCATTTTCTTTTCTCCAATCCCTCTCCTAATCCCACTTTACTCCATTCTCAGCTGCTTTTCCCTCTCAATTTTACGTTCTCTTAAAAAAAAAAAAAAAAAAAAAAACAGAGTCAGGCAAGACATGGTGATGCACACTTCTTTTAATCCCAGCACTCAAAAGGCAGAAGCAGATGGATCTCAGTGAGTTCAGGCCAGCCTGCTCTACTTAGTGAGTTCTGGGGCAGCAGGATTACATAGAGAGAACCTGTCTCAAAACAAATAAACAACAAACAAACAAAAATAAGCAAACAAACACAAAGTTGGCTCAGTGCTTCCTGTATGGATATTAGTGTAGGACTACATACTGAAGCTAACCTCTTGGGACAAATCCCAGAAGAAACGGAATGCCCTGCAGCTAACAGTTGCCAATAGCTCCTCAGCTAGGTATGGGGATTGATGTGCCCCGCCCCACCTATTGTGGAAATTGGTATGGCTTCATCTTGTGCAGGGAGTCCTAGCTGCTGTGAGTTCATGTGTATGATGACACTGTCATGTCCATCTCTGTCATGGATGTCTCCATGACAATTGTCTCCATGACAATTACACATCATTTGTTTTTTATTTAGCAACAATTTGAACCCTTAAATATTTTCCTTACTGTTCTTAGTTTTAACCTGTAGATTCTCAGGGAAGGGCTAGAAAGCATCTCTTCTACACCCCTCGGGCCTCTGGTTGATTCATCATGCAGTACCAGGACAAGTCAATGCATCATGGTCTAAGTGTGGCTGAGGCATCATGAGTGACACAAAGCAGGCTAATAACTGACTTGTACTCCGGCAAGGTGACAAAACTTCCGGTGTGGGTGTGTTTTACATCCTCCCACATTACAACTGCCGTTCAGTCACCTCTTCTCTGCCTCCACTGTCCATATCTCTCCTAGTGCTTCTCGTCTCCTTAGACACAGGTTTCTATTCCTGCATGAAGTAACCAAACAACCCAATAAGAAAAATTGGTTTTGCTAATTCTATGACGTGTTGGGAAGAACATGGTATTTAATTACCTAATTGAGTAAACAAGCAACGAAATACAGCAGCCCCATGCAGTAAAATAAATAGCTGTTCTGATTTGATCCCTTAAAAACCTCAGACCTAAATTCAGCAGTATTCAGTAAGGTCATCAAATTACTTTCATATTAAGGAAAACAAGCCCATCTGGATGAGCCCGTGTTTCAGGCTTTCCGTGAACAAGACCAAAGAAGAGCCAGGCAGATCACTCAGTACTTGGGAGACATAACGCTAATCAGGATGTTAGTGGATTATGAGATCGTGTATGTAATGCCTAGGGAATACTTCTTTATTTGAGCAGAGGCATTATGAAATTAAAGGGGCAGTGCTGAACACTGCCCGTCCCAGCCTTCTCTTCAATTGCAACAACTTGCATGTCTTGTCTGTGCTGGTGGATTATTAACAGAGGTGATTGGTCTCCATGGCAAAACAATTGAACGATTGCACAGAATGTAATCTCATTTATGAGAGTGCAAAAAAAAGAGAGAGAGAGAGAGAGAGAGAGAGAGAGAGAGACATAGGGTCAGGGCTATAAATGCCCATTGCCACCGAAGGCCTGCTGCAGTTGAGAAGTGAAGAGACTCCAAGTTCACAGTTCAAAAAGCTCTGACATTTGGTCCCACGTTTTTTACTGAATCGGGTACAGCCCCTGGAACGTGCTGTCGAAATCCCTGAGGAGACTCGTGAAGCTGGTGGTGGGGAGCCTTTGGTCTCTGTGCTTTGCCACACCACCCCAACATGTGCACAGGGGGCTGTGCGAAGTGCCTGGGGGGCGCCCTCATTCCCCTGGCTGTGTTTGGCCTCCTGGCGAATATCCTGTTGTTCTTCCCTGGAGGAAAGGTGGTAGATGACAACAGTCACCTTTCGGACGAGGTCTGGTATTTCGGAGGAATACTGGGAAGTGGAGTCTTGGTGAGTAGAGAAACCTTAACATTCCCACAAAGGCGAATTCCCTTGCTCCCATCCTTTTTCATTCGGCTCTTAGTGCATGGGATGCCATTCTGAAGCTAACAACCTTTATGTGATGCCTTAGTGTACTTCTCCTTTCTGTTAGTGACTGAGGACAGTTTGGTTTACTAATCAGTTTGTCCCCAAGCTGGGGCTAGAATCACCATAGAACATTGAGCCCAGAGACCCAAACTAACAGCCAACCACTTGATTGCTGTACTGTGACAAAATAGTGCCAGAAAGACTTAAAAACAAAACACAGTGCTTTATACAAATGGACTGACTTTAAAGAATGAGGAGATGCAGAAGCTGCAGATCAGCTTTCATTCAGGAATTCACCAGGTCCTTGAGTCCAATACAGACGGGACCTCCAGCTTGTGGTAGTGGAGGGGCTCACCTTTCATGACAGAGTCTCCTTACCCTCTAAGTGAACTCTTAGAATCTCTTCACAGAAGTTGGTCAGTCAGGCCAAATAAAACCTCCATACTCAAAACCACCTGTATGCCCACGAGCTGTGCCAGCTGTTAGGTCTTGCCTGCCCTCCCCCTTAAATCACTGAGACCTGAGGTCTTTACTGGCAAGAAAAATGTGGGCTTCCCTCAGACCCTCTAAGCACTTCTCTTGCTGGCAGATGATCTTCCCTGTGTTGGTGTTCTTGGGCTTGAAGAACAATGACTGCTGTGGATGCTGCGGCAATGAGAGCTGTGGGAAGAGATTTGCGGTGAGTCGTTGTGGGGTCAGCTGCCGGAATCTCCGGGGTTCCCTGATGGCTTGGGCTGGGCAGCATGGGTGTGCCAAATAAGTAACCAGCCCTAGCCAATACTCTTGGGTGATTTGGTACATGATAAAGCTCTGGTCCTCACTGATACAGAATAATAACAGTAAATCTATTAAATTCTACAACCTTCATATTAGAGGTACAGGTACATTTAAGTTTTAAATACACAGAGATGTCAGAGAGTATTTAAGATGTCAGATGTATTTAAGCTTTAAATATACAGAGATGTTAAAACTGGAGTGATAGCACAGAAAGAAGGTAGAGGTGGGGCCACAGATTCGCCTTTGCCACTAGGAAGCCATGAGAACTTCAACAAGTCATCTCCTCCTTCTTGCCTCATCATGAAAGGAGACCTGGGGCAGGATAAAAGATGGTATCTCCCCTCCCTCATAGCTCACTAAGCTCCCTTCTTTACCAAGGGCACTAACTACTGATGGAGGCCCTGCATTTCAACTCCTGCCCAGAATCTGCCTCAGGATTTCAGCTTCCTCTCCTTTTTGACCTGGCCATCCATCTTTTAGTGGGTGAAGTGGAGATTAGGCAGGCATCGCATTCCCGGGGATCAGAAGGAATGCTGGCATGTGGGTCAGGTCCCATTTCTGCAACTGGGCAAGTGACCAACTGTAAGATAACCAAGTTGGACTGGCTCAGAATTCCCTAGATATGGACCAAACCCTGGTACAGAGATACGAGTATCCAAACAACAAAGAATGTTTTCTTTCACTTTTCCTCCGGTTGTTTTCATTTTAGGAAGGAAAGAAATCTTTATTTTGATGGGGATAAGTCTTTGCTGTTTCTAAACCTTCAAGCTTCCCTTCTTAACAAAGGAAGAACAACCCAAGGCTCTGGGGATACAAATGACATTAGATGACTAAAATTTATTAACACTGCTCATGTTTGCTAACAGTTTCAGGTTTTTGTTCAAAATAGTGATACAAATTAATAAAACAGTTGTCTTAAAAACTCTTAAGCCTTTGGGTATATGATAAGGCAAAGTATGATGAAGGTAGATCCTTGGCTTGATGATGAGGAAAGGATGTTCCTGCTCCAACTTCCCAGGATTCAAATTCCATCAAGGAGACTCCTAAGCCCACCTTAAATTCATTTTTCTTTTTTCTTTTATTCAAGACAAGGTTTCTCTGTGTAGCCTTGGTTGTCTTGGACTTGCTTTGCAGACTAGGCTAGCCTGGAACTCAGAGATCCATTTGCCTTTGCCTCCCCCAGTGCTGAGATTACAGGCATGTGCCACTGCGCCCAGCTCCCACTTTAAATTTTTGAAAGTCTATCTACCCATTCTGAGACAGAACCATATTGACATTTCTTTTTCATCATCATTTGTTGACTTATTCCAAAAAGAAGGCATCTACCAAGTACACACGTAAGGCTGCTCTGCTCTGCGTGTTACACACTACAGTTTTTTGTGTGACATCATACCGTTCTTAGAATATTTACCATTCATAGAATATTTATCTTCAAAAAAATCATCATAAGTACTGAAAATTGTCATTTCGGCATTTAGAATCATCATTTACAAAGAGCATAAGAAATAGCAAACATTCATTTGATAAAATTACATGCCAAATATTATACTTAATAATATTTTCACGTGATTGACTATAAAGGAAAAGAAGTGCTATATAACTCATTTTCCCATCAGACCATTTATAATTTGCCAACTTTGGAAGATAAATTGGAGATAACAGTTTGAAAAAATAGCAATTAAGGAATTTGGATGAAAATAAAGAAAAAAATCTGTCTTTGCATTTCTGATGCTGAGCGGAAATGCATAATGACTGACTGATACAAAACAGGCAGGTAGGTGGGCAGGTGAGCAGATGGACAGGCTTGCTTCTTTGTTTCTAGAGTTCTCTAAAGCCACAGAGAAAAGTGAAAACATGCCCAAAGTGTTATTCAAAACTTTAATGTCCTCAGATTTAAATGAAGAGTACAGCAAGAAAGTCATGTTGTTGAGGAGCCTTGTTCTGAAACATTTGGTCTGGTCAATATATAACATCCACTAGGACTCTTAAGGCCTCCCGTTGGGATCTGCCCTCCAAGAGAGTTGAGAATGGCCTCATCCTACCTTCCAGCTGTGCAAACTGAAAACCAAGGTTCTAAGCCCCAGCAACTAGAGACCAGGGCACCATTTGCTGAATGGTCAGCACCCAGGTTTCTTGGTTTGGGTGTGTTTGTTTTTAAATCAAATATCAACTTTTAAAAGATGAGAGCACAAAATGCATCTGTGTGTTCTTTTTTTTTTTTTTTTTTTTTTTTTTTTTTTTTTTTTTTTTTTTTTTCCTGAGACAAGATTTCTCTGTGTTGCCTTGGCTGTCGTGGACTTGCTTTGTAGACCAGGCTGGCCTCGAACTCACAGAAATCTGCCTGCCTCTGCCTCCCCTAGTGCCCTACAACCTCTAGCTATCTAACTTCTTTTCAAATAGAAAATTAACCTGATATCACTGGCCTCAAAACACAACCATGGCCTACCCTATGTTGCTATGGATTGTGCTGCCATGGCTAACTCAGCTCTAGGGTTCCATACTGGCTACATTGTGGAATCTGGTAGTGTCCTTATGTCCCTCCAAGACCATGTTTATAGTTCAAAGCCCCTGCTTTATAGTTGTAGTCCTTCTCTTCAGAGGCTCTGGGACACCAAGTGACGTGGTTAAAGACATTTTGTCAGAAACACGCACACACGCACACACAGAGCTGCAGCGTCATTTAAGCACTGCAGTGGCGACAGTCTGAATTATTTTTGTAAATGCTCAAGGCATTTCCTTACACATGGACACTGCCCCAGTTGTCTGCGGGGTTCTGAGAAGCCCTGCCAGCAGAAAGATCTGTGAGCAAACCCGGCAGACGCTACAGCAACAGACTGCCCTCACCCTGGCTGGCATTGCTTTGTTTTTCTAGAACATTCCTCAAATGTGCACTGGACCCGCACAATTCTTGTCGTTCAATAATAAAAAGCAGGAATTGGAAGGCAGGGGCAGGATGTGATAGCTGAGGAGATAAAATGAACTCGTGAGCTGTAAACAACCTTGAAATCACCTAATTCTTAGTTTCATTTTGAAGCCCGAGAAAATGGTTCGGCGGTCTCTCTCTGTCTCTGTATGTGACTCTGTCTCACCTCTCACCCCTCACCTCTCACCCCCAGCAGGCTCCTGTGAGGGGAGGAAGACTAAGGCTCAGCCGAAGGTCTTGAGTCTTAACTCTCTCAGATAAATGAGGCTGAAGGGAGCCAGTAAACTGTAAGGTCGGGTACAGTTCAGGGCAGCCTCTGAAGCCCTGACCTGCGTTTGATTTTAGGTCGCTACCTCTTTCTCCCCTGCCTGAGAGCCTTAGACTTGTCTGGCCACTGCCTCCCACCCTCTACTCTCTTTAATATTGGAGAAATGTTCCTCTCCCAGGGCTCAGTGGGACAACTAATTAATTTTATCAGCTCATTCACTTAGAAAAGGGCCGTTTAGAAACCTTAGACTCAACTCAAAGTTGAGCGTCTTTAATAATGGGATGGAAAGCGGATTGATAAGGAGATAGCTGGGGGCAAGCGGATGTTTCAGCATTCTTAACCATGTCAGGTGATAAACCCTGGCATCCCCACCCCAGGCAGGGCAATTCTGGGTCACTTTTTGAAGATCTTGGGCTCATCACAAGCCAACCTGTGTGCAACTGCGTCGGCATTTCCTGTGCCCAGCTCACCACTGCTCCCTACAGGCAGATCCTGGCTAACTGGCTCTTTATTTCTCCCAATGGCAGCCAGATTGAAGGAGAGTTAAGAAAAGCAATGCTTTTAAAGGATTCGTCATCATGAAGTAAGAAGCTAAAAGTATAGATCTACTTTTCCTCACTGTTCTCTACTCTTTAAAAAAAAATAATCTTTTTGGTTTTATTTTTTGTTTTGTTTTTGGTTAGGAATGACACCAGTAAGGAAACGCTTACCTACCATGCATAAGCCACTAGGTTTAGTCCCCAGCATACCAAAAATTTGAAACAACAACAACAAAAAAGCAAAGCAGAAAAGCAAAATGTCCTGCTGTAAAATGGGTATCACAATGACAGTTGTTAACTTTTGGAAAGATATTACCAGAATCAGAGAAAGGAGTTGCAACATTATCATAAGGAGAAGAAAGAGAAGTCCCAGGTGACTGTTCTGGTGCCAAGGATGTATACATCCTGGGTAAATACTTGCAAGGCGAATAAAGTAGGGAATGCCAGGAGAAGTGTCAGGGGGCTTCTAAATTTTCTCAGGCTTAATCCTCACAAAATCCTTTTGAGTTACACAATAAAGTCCTTATTTTGCAAGTGAAGAAAACCAGTCTGTACATTACTTTCCTGATGGTAGCCCTCATAGCTTTCTCAAGCAGAACCAAGGCAGAAAATACAGAATACTACTGCTTTCAGAGAAAAACAGTGGGGCTTGCTGTACCGTGCAATCCCAGCCCTCAATATGTCCAAAAACACACTTTGACCTTAGCTCAGTTATCACTGGACCCTGAAAGGGAGGTCATAATGCTGGCAGGGTGACTTAGAAGGCATCTGACTACAGGACTTTCATATCATCTGTTTCAAGGAAGGCTTTTACAGCATACAATGAGTCCGTTCATATTTAGCATGTGTTTGTTGGAGGGATAGCTCAGCGGTAGAGCATTTGACTGCAGGGTGTTTCTAGAATAACCATCTGAAAAGAAATCCATTTACTTCTGGTTTCCTCCTTAGAGTTTTGCATTTTGTATTTGTAGAAAGCAAAGTGTGGGTACTACGATAAAAATATTATAGCATAATAATACTAAGTTATTATGTGCTGATACTAACGTATTGAATTTGTTGTAGCATCACAGGCATTTTCCTTAGAATAAGCACAAAGGACCCCTGGTGTCTAATCAGTGGATGGCACACTCTCCTTAACCCTGAGGAATAGCTGGTTCTTCTAGAGGGGTCACTAGTCACTACGGAACAGCTTCTCTTATTGGTTAATTATCATTATTGAACCTCGTTATGCAGAAGAGGAAATGAGAAAGAAAGATTAACTTCTCAAGGTCACGTGGGAGGAGCCAAGATTTAGACCCAGTGCCTGCTGCCTGTAACTCATACCTGCTGTCCTGACACGTTAGTGCTAGCGTTCGTGCTCCTCTTTTCTATTTACTCCTTTCAGAGAGAGAAAGCATACTGCCGTACAAAACATAGGATGCATGTTCCCATACTGGACTCCAAAATCTGGCAGACAGTGCTGCTTTCAAGAAGCGTAACCTTGGAAGCTGTCCCAAATCCTTTGCCTATTCACTTTAAATATTATTAGTTTGGGAGAGGCTACCCTAACATATTTAATTTAAGCTCAGTTAATTTTATTTTAATAAAAGAAGTTTTAGCATAAAACCTTTGCTAGATGGGACTTAATCTTTGCTGGGTTTAGGTCATATATATCTGGCTAGGCATGGTGACACAGACCTTTAATCCGGCACTTGAGAGAGGCAGATGCAGGAGGATCTCTGTGAGTTCTAGAGAAGTCTGATTTACATAGTAAGATCCTGTTTCAAAACAATAAAAAATATACACATCAAATACCTTACTAGTGAGCTTAACAACATTAAAGACATTTTCTGTGATAGAAATTAAAACAGGGTAATGTAAAGTGCACCTTCCTTTATGTGACTCACCTAGTCTATAAGATTATGAAAAAGAGAGTGTTTGTTTCATTTATTTTATGGTGTGGTATTTCAAACTGGAACTCAATAATAGAACATACCCCTTACAGGTTTCTGAAACCTAACCCACTGCCCCCCTTTTCCAGATACATCATATAGTGAAATAAAGCATAATCTGTTCACTTAAGAATGGCCACACATTCCTCTCTCTGTCACATTCCCTTCCTTCTTGAGAGGAAGCATTGACACGAATTCGATGAACCCCAAAGCCATGGATTTTAAAACTTTTACTACCAAAAGTTCAAATGACCTAGACAGAGGTTGTTCAACATGACAGCCACGTGTGGCTCCTGAGAAGGCGGAAGTTCCTAATCTATGCAAAATATGGTTATATGCCAAAGACCTTAGACAAGAGACAGATTTGATACTGGTTATGTGTTGAAATGATAATATGTTAAATGTGGAGAATTAAACAAAAATGCATTGTTAAAGTTAACTTCTTCTCTGTCTTTCTTTAAGCTGAGACGTTTATGTTATATATGAGGTTAACATTATAGACAGAGGTGGTCTAGTAGACGTCCAAATGGTTACTCTTTGATAAAAAGGAACACTATCCCCTTGTGATGGTTTTTGTCAGCCTGACTTCTCATTTGCCTAAATGAGGATGATCACGTCTGTCCACTCACTTTGCCGTTACCCTTCCATAGTCTAGTTAAAAATTATAGATGAACATCCTCTCAACATAAGTTTTATTCTTTTTTTGTAAACAGGGTTCCATGCACCCCAGGCTTGTTTAAAATATGACATATAGCCAAGAATGCCTTTAAATTTATCTCCTGCCTCCACCTCTAAGAGCATGGATTGCAGCTATGCATCATTGTGTAGCAGACAGTGTTGCATTCCTCAGCCAATGGATGGAAAAGATGGAAGTGAAGTAAAAAAATCAAAAAGGAACATATGATACAGACTTCATTCTGAAAACTCTAAGTCTCACCTGTAATGACAAATGTCTCTTACCCTATGGTCATCATGTTCAGCTTCAGGCTGGGCAGGTATGCTGAAGGGTGTGACTGGACATGAATACTCTCTGCACGGTGAGAACTTTGCTGTCTCTCTTCCCTTTCAGATGTTCACCTCCATCTTGTTTGCTGGGGTTGGATTCTTGGGTGCTGGATACTCATTTATCATCTCAGCTGTCTCCATCAACAAGGGTCCTAAGTGCTTCATGGGAAATAATACATGGGGATACCCCTTCCACAGCGGGTAAGTTTCCACGATACAATGCCATGGACTCTTCATTATGTATTGTCAGCATGTTTCCCCTTCAAGGAAAAGCTGGCCGTGTGGTTAAGAGAAGTTGCATGGTTTTCACCTCTGATTGTCCTTTGGACAATCACAAGAGAAATAATTGGAAGAAGGTGCCTTGGTTGTCCAAAGGAAATGTGTTGTGTCTCAACTCACCTCCAAACATTAACAAAAATGTATTTATGTTTTTATCCTCCAGGACTATAGGTAGGACCGGAAGTCAGTACATCTAGATTATTGGTCTTTGACAGCATAAGCAGAATCTGCCCAACCACATAGGACATCGTAGTGACAGTCCCAGCAGAATAAATGAATCCTAACATATTGAATCTAATTCCACAATTCTAGCCATATTTCAAGTACTCACTAGCTGTTTGTGGATTGTAGCCACTATGCTGAATAGCAAAAATGTAGAACATTTTTATTGTGGCAGATGTTCTGTGTGATAACTACTCTATTCTCTGAGAAGCTTGGACCATTTCTCATTTGTTCATTACTCAGACCCTCTGTGTTTTACACAAAGACTGAATATCCTTGGGAGTCAGGAAGTATGGCCGTTGGATCTTCTAGCACATAGAGAATTTGTCCATTAAAAACAAAAACGATACTAATAAACAGTTATCCTTCATCAATTGTGAAGGCTCCAGAACATCTGTAGTTATTAATACACAAGTGCCTTGCACAGACTTGCACAGTATTTGCATATGGCTTATAGAACTTGGTGCAATGCAAATGTAATGCAAACAACAGATACACTGTTTTGTTTAGAGGACAAGGACACGTTCATTACAGATAGAATTTTATCAGCTATTTATGACAAAACTTACATATGTGGAACTTGGACATGCAGAGGGATGTCTGTATTAACTTAGACTCTTGCTTGTTGATTTACAATGAAATCCTTAGAAACTTCAAGAACTATCTTCAGACTGGGGAGGTGTAGGCACTGGTTCTGATCTGATGGTCTCTGTGTATCTGCTGGCATTAAGTACTCCAACTTTATTCTCACAACTAAACAAGCAAAGATCTCTGTCATCTTCACATTACATGCATGAACTTCAAAATGTTTCTTTTACCATGGAAAGGCCTCCTAACTTGCAGAAAACTGTTAAATTTCCATCACTGTGGGGTTAGATTGAGGAACATAGAATTCAGACACCAGCAGGCTGAGCCTTCTCTTAAGGTATTTTGTCAATAGCTCAGTCTTTCCCCGGGGATGAGTCAGGGAAGCAGTGGATTATGTCTTTCTGAAGAACTCTTTTGCTATTGCTGCCATCAACAGCACCCCGGCACTGTTACCTTAGCCTTCTGTGTTCTGCTGTGTGAATGACATTGCCCTCCATGAATTTAATTTCACTTAGCCCGAAGGCTGTGTCTAAAACAGAGGCTAGAGAAAAGAGAACACCATAGGGGCAAGGTACCACTCCAAAGCAACACAACAGCCCCGTAGTTCTGACGAGGCCTGTTCTCACCCCACCCCTCCCCCTCACAGCTGCTTCCAGCACGTTACTCAGCATGTTCTCATCTTATGCCACTCCATCTGTTCCTCACAGTGACAGACCACTCATTCATCAACAGTGGCAGGGGATGGTTTCGTTAACGAAAACATCACAGCATCACCTTATTGGAAGGAGCAAGAGTTCAGAACCCTCCCATCTCTGTTCACTGTACAAGAAGAAATTACCCAGGATTAGGAGTGAGGAGAAAAGGCAGATGTTATGGAGATGGCCTCTGAGATGGTGGCCAGCTTGGACTATAAAATTCATTGTCTCTCAATACTGAGTAATGTAGCATTTTTTTTTTTCTTGGAAATGTTTGCTGCTGATGATATTAAACTAGCAAAGAGTGCCAGGGTGTCATGCTGTACATAATCCTATCATTCAGGGAGGCGGAAGTGGAGGCGGAGGCAGGAGGATCACTGTGACTTTGAGGCCAATGTGGTCTACAAAGCAAATCCAGGACAGCCAAGGCTACACAGAGAGAAACCCTGTCTCGAAAATCCAAACCAAAACCAAAAAAGAACAAAGAGAAAAATTTATATGCGCAGAGATCCATATTAGAGAAACATCCTAGAGGAAGGAGAACCATTAAGAAACACTTCTGCTTTATTTTCCTTTGGGTAGAACTTCCTTTTACCTATCTCTTCCTCTTTGTGACTGTGGGCCACCCCATAGCCTTGAACCATAGCCGCTGAGAGGGGTGCAGGAGGAAGAACATTGAGGCAAGTGTTCAATAGTGCAGGGAAGAGGTACCTGATAAGCATCCTTCCAAAAGTGAAATGAGCCAATTCAAGCTAAGGTTCAGTTTATAAATGCAGATTTATTGGGGGAAGCTCTGAGCAGGTTCAAGGGTAAGGCCAGTGTGCACCGGGGGGGGGGGGAGAGAAAGAAGAGGAGAGGGGAGGGGAGGGAAGAGGAGAGGGGAGGGGGAGGGGAGAAGAGGGGAGGGGAGGGGGAGAAGAGGGGAGGAGGGGGAGGAGAGGTGACAGGAGAGGAGAGGGGAGGGGAGGGGAGGGGAGGAGAGGAGAGGAGGGGAGAGGAGAGGAGAGGAGAGGAAACGCAGAAAGAGAAAGACACACAGAGAGGAAGAGACAGAAAGAGAGAGGCGGGGAACAAAATGTCTGGATTATACAGTGAGTAGCCTGCCCCTGGAAGAGAGCAGGGTTTGCCGGCCACACCCTATAACAGGTAGGGACTGAGGGACACTGGCAGAACCTGGAGGCCAAGTCCACTTTGGGTAAAAAGGCACCTCAGGCCCTTGCCTCAGGTCTGAAGCCCAACAGTATCCATACAAGACACTTTTTGTCGCTATTCTTCTGAGCAATGTATGAGCTGTGTATGAGGCTGGACCCAGAACCAAACACAGTTAAATATTCTCAGTTAAGTCTATTGCGCTGTAATCAAGATTTCTGCCATAGATCTCTCGTGTCTTCTGTGAAGCTGAGGTGACAACTGGGTCTACTCCACAGGCTTCCCACAGTAAGAAAAAAAAAAAAAAAGTGGTGTAATATACATAAAGTACTTCCACAATTCCTGTGAGTTTCTGCTGAGGCAGAGCAGTTGGCCCTTGGTGGCCAGGCTTGTGTCCTCCTGTGTGGCCCTGTGGTACCACCTCTTCAGGAGAAGTTCCTCCATCTCCCCCTGTGCTTGGCAGGGTTGGAGGAGGGGACGCAGTATGGGTACTCCAGACTTACTCTCGCTGCGCCCCTGAACCCCAGTGTTGTCATTGTCTGCTTGTCTTCTCTTTGGGACCATTCACCCCTAAAGGAAGAGTACATATGTTTCCGTGTCCGCCGCCCCCCCCATCTGTTTCCACACCCAGCATAGGATGTGGTCAGTGCATAAGCAGCTGTCATTGAGTGGGTCTTCATTGGCACTGTGTATCTTTCCGGTCACATGTTCCCCCGACGTGCATTGCTTGCATAGAGGTCACCTTCAGTAAGTCCTTACTGAGAAAATGAACACACCCATTTTGGAGATTAAGAGGTTGAAGCTAGTAAGCGGAAGTGTGTGGAATTGGTTTAGGTCTTCGAAATTCCTAAGCAAGTTCTTTTACCATTACACAAAGCTCCATTTGAGCAGTTACAGAAGTATGATAATTCATGAAACTCACAGGACAAGACTGGGTGTGATGGTGAAGGCCTTTAATGTCAGAACTCAGGAGGCAGAGACAGAAGGATCGCTGAGAGTTTGGGGCCAGCCTGGACTATGTAGCCAGTTCCAGGTTAGCCCAGACTATGTAGAGAGACCCTGCCTAAAAACAAACAAACAAAAACCTGTAAAGAAAGGAACAATTACAGAACGACAAGTATTTAATGTAAAAGAAATACATTGCTATGAAAGAGGTGTGTTATCTTTGAATCCTGTCACAAATAGCAAAACTGATGCCAAGGAAAAGTGACTAATTTATGTGATGAGTATTCACAGAAATGAGGAATAAGCAGACTGCCTAGATTTATGCCGAGCTTCATCCGAGTTTACAACACCAAAGCTCTTTCTGTAGACTAAGTGAACTAATGACAACACTAATATTTATTGGTCACTTGCTGTATGCTATGCACTGATGTAAACACATTGTCCTTATCTGCACATGTAAGACAATAATCCCACAGGTGCCCGATAATGCTATTCAAATCCAGTTTACAGAGCAGTGTATGAAAGCTGATGGCACGAACAAGATCTTATTCCTAAACAAAGCACAAAACAGGGCAGGGGTAGCTCAGTGCTAGAACAGCGCCTAGCATTCATGAAGCCCTAGGTTCTGTCCCCAGTTATACACCCTTTTTGTTGTTGTTGTTTTATGTATATATATCAAAGTAGTTTCTTTTATTCCTCTATTCCACTAAACTCCAAGGCTTCTCTTTCACTTTGAAAATTTTCCAAAATGTATGCAGTAAAGAGTACAGTGCATCCACGAGTTCCTAAGAAGCAGAGGTCATCAGAAAGATCTAAAAGAAATAAGGCTTTTCCCACTGAGGCCCTGAAAATGAGGGACAGTAAAGGAGGGGGAAGAGGCAGGGTGTGGCTGTCGGCACATAAGAAGGAAGCCCTGTAACCCCACAACTGCTGACAACTGTTTCTAGGAAACCATACTTCCCGTTTCTCCCCAGTGATAGTGTGTGTGTGTGTGTGTGTGTGTGTAAGAGAGAGAGAGAGAGTGTGCATTATGAAGGTTCTGCACATGAGTGCACATGCCAATGGAGGCCAGAATCCTCGTAGCTGGAGTTTACAAGTGGCAGTGCAAACTCTTAATTGTGAAGCTCTCTCTTAAATCCCTATTTATTCTTAAATTTTGTTGTTGTTTTAGTTGTGTGGTTGTTTCCCCCGTGTGTATGTCTGTATACGTGCCTAGTGTCTCAGGAGGCCAGAGGAGGACATTAGATCCCCTGAAACTGGACATACATGGTTGTAAGATCCCATAGAGGTGCCAGAACCAGAGCCTCTGGGTGGGCAGCCAGTACACCTGGGCATCCACTGAGCAATCCCTCCAGGTCCCTACGTTATTATTATTATTTGTTTAGTTGGTTTTTGTTGTTATTTTGAAAAAGAATCATCTATATTTTAGTAAGCTATGTAGCCGAGGATGAACTTGAACGCCTGCTCCTGCCTCCGCCTCCTAGTTGCTGGGATTATAGGTATGCAGCACGTCATCTTGTTTATGCTGTGCTGTGGAGAACACTCAGGGCCTTGTGCATGCCAGGCAAGCCCTCTGCCAACTGAGATACATCTTTTCGTTTTTGAGAGTGTTTTTGGGGTTTTGCTTGTTTTGTTTTTTCAGTCAGGCTGTCACACCATAGCTTTGGGCTTGCTCAAATTCAAGGAATTCCTCATGCCTCCACCTCCTAAGTGCTGAGGTTACAAATGAAAGCCACCACACCTGCCTTAGCGGCTTCCTTTTAGTCACGTGATGTGATCTATAATGTGCGATGATGGAGTCAGTCTGGAGTAATGGCAGCTAGGATGAAGGCCATCAATTATGTCTGCAGGACTTCTTGCTGCAGCTTCATTTCCTGCTTCTTCATAAAAGTGCCTGCGCTTATTCGCCCTCTGGGCCAGCTCACCAAAAAAAAAAAAAAAAAAAAAATTGCTTTGTCACTTGGTAGTTTGTGACTGGGACAAGTCCCTTACAGCCTCTGTGCCTTGACATCCTTGTTTCATGGAATGGAAGAAACGGAGTCCTGGGTTTCTGTACGGAAGATATCCTCAGTGAGCTGTGCTGGGGTTCTTTTTATTGTTATCACAGGGCATTTCTTCACAGAGCTTGCATGAGAGAAATAGCAAAGGCAACTCTCTAGGGAATCAGACACATCTGACAAGTGTCTCCCTCCTCCCTGCCTCCCTGTCACCTGTAGCGATTACCTTAATGACCAAGCCTTGTGGAACAAGTGCCAAGAGCCCCGTGATGTGGTCCCCTGGAATCTGACCCTCTTCTCCATTCTGCTGGTCGTCGGAGGGATCCAGATGGTTCTCTGTGCCATCCAGGTGGTCAACGGTCTCCTGGGAACCCTCTGTGGAGACTGCCAGTGCTGTGGCTGCTGTGGGGTAAGTCAGGATTCCCTCCTTTCTTCTCAAAGGAGGCCACGCCCGGCCACCATCACCATGAGGCGAGGGTAGTGAGTACGGCTGCCGGGGGGAAAGCTGCCGTTCTGGGGTTCCTGCAAGCTCATATGAACAGCGGTGTTATATTATTGCATATGCACTGAGCAATTTGATCACACTCTCCAGCTTCACACTTATCTGTGTGTATGTGTGTGCGCACAAAATTTACAGAAGGGATTTGTAGCAATACAATACAGCTGGCCTAGAACTCTCAGCTCCGCCAGGAAGGAGGATCCGTGCAGAGCCTAAACAATTTCTGATACAAGAAGAGAGAAAAAAGAAATTAGCCAAGATGACTCTTTAAATTTTATCATGAAATATAAAAATTAAAAAGAAATCTACAGATGATACAATGGGTCTGATTATTTCAACACATAACCAAATTGGATCAGGCACTTATGTACCCATGCATATTTATTATAAACAGATGGAATCATGGTTGGAACAGTAGCCTTTTTTACATTTCAAATAAGCAACGTATATTTGTGTGTAAAAATATGTGTGAAGACACAAACACAAAAATAGTGCCCTGCAAAGCCTCTCTTCCTCCCTTCTACTCACCCAGTTTCTCCCAGGTTCTCACTGTATAAAGCTGCAAACTTTCCTATATATTCCCCCCGTCTTTTAAAATTATTTTTATTTTCTATATGTGAAATAATATTCTCCCTGAAACTACAATAACATTAAAAACACTAGACTGAGGGTATTGGTAGACTAGTCTCCATTGAGAAAGCATTTTCCTAGCATGCACGAGGCTCCATTGGCAGCACCATGCATGGGTGTGTTGGGAAGGTCATTTGAAAATAGAATATAAAATTGCATAGTAAATAACACACAATTACAAAATAAGAAAAATAACCATGAATAAAATCCAATAAAAAGAGCTAAGTCAGAATTGTTTTAAGTAAAGACTGAGTGTTTTTTCTTCCTTCTAAATTGTAGTATTGCAAAAGCTAATAACCAAATATTGCTTTGAAAATATAGAACATCTGGGCTGGTAAAATGGTTCAGTGGGTAGAGGCACTTGTGGCCGAGCCTGACATCCTGAGTTCAGTCCACAGGACCCACACAGAGGAAGGAGAACACCAGCTCCTAAAGTTGTTTACTGATCTCCCCTCAGGCAACACACACAAATAAATAACTAATAAATAAAACCGTAAAAATGTAATAAACAAAAATGTTTTTAAATGCAAGTTTAATTCCCAGAACCCAGGGTGGAAGGAGAAAACTGACTTCTGAAAGTTGTCCTTAGACACACCCAACCACACACACTATAGAACATATGCCCACACTTAACATACCACTAATTGTAAGTAAAAATTATAAATACATACACAGTAAATAAAATTTCCCCGCATGAATAGTAAAATGTATCTACAATAACCTGCACCAGCTACTACTTTTTTCTGTAAAATTTTTTATCTTCTATGCTTTTTATTTGTTTGCTTTGTTTTCTGAGACAAGATCTTATCCTGGATGACCAGAAATTCCCTAAGTGCCCCAGGCTGACCTGAAACTCATAGAGATCCACCTGCCTCTACCTCCTGAGCTCTGTGCGCCACCACGAGTGTTTTTGTTGGTTGGTTTGTTTATCTTTAAACAACTAGAAAGTCTGAGTATCAGCCAACAAAGTATGTATTTTTTGTGTGATAGTAATCAAGAATATTGAGCATTTGGGAGCTGGATAGATGCCTCAGTGGTTAAGAACACAGGCTGCTCTTCCAGAGGACCCAGGTTTGATTCCCATCACCCACAACAGTCTGTAAATCCAGTTCCAGTGGATCTGATGGCTTTCTTTAACCTCTTCAGCACTAAGCTCAAAGGTAGTACACATACATACATGCAGGCAAAATACCCATATACGTAAAACAAAAATAAATAAATCTGTAAAACTATTGAACATTTAGATCTCACAGTTCTTCATTCAAAATGTATGAACACATCCTAAGCCAGCTAAACTGATATATTATATTATATATAATATATCTTATATTATCTGGATGACAAATTCTCTTTCCATATTTATTAAGAATAGAATTGCTTAAGTAGGTAGTAATAGTTCACTAAATCTAAGGAGATCTGTCCATTTAAAAGCATGCTCATAAACAACTGGCAGTATATTGAGTCTCTTTATTGCATTTAATTTGTCAAGACTGTGTTCTGGTGATGGAATGACTAAATCAGAGACAGTGGGCAGATTCATGGTTTTCAGCATGTGGGCACAGGGGGCTTTGACCACAGAGGGTGGGTCACCAGAATTTCCTTTTTCTGTCCTTCTGTCACATCCCCTCCAAACTTTCTTATTTTGAAAACAAATCTACAGAAAAAATAAAGGACGCACAATGCACACCGAATACTCTCACCGTGGTCCATGGGTTGTCAATATCTTTCGCCTTACCTTTCTCATAGAAACTCACAAGAAGTGACTTGTAGACTGTGAGACACCATTGCTCTGTATTTCGGTGTATGCCCAAGCAGTTCTGAATGCCGTCTCTCAGGGAGTCCTTTCTTGTGAGCGGCCTCTAATCCCTACAGCACCCCTACCCCAGCAGCATAGTGTGGAAAGAGCCCACCCCCACATCTGCTAGTCTAGTGACTTAAGCAAGCTGGCTGGCTTCTTAGCATCCTGCTCTCCCCACTACAGTTGCCTCAGGTATACAGAAACTGCGCAGGGTGACCTTGGCCCGCTCAAGCTGAGGCCTCGAGAGCCTGGCATCCTTTAAAAAGCGATAGATGGCAAAGTTCCCTAAAATCAAAGCTGTGACAACGGGGTAGGGGGTTGACTAGTGGCCAGGTGCTCTGAATTGTTTATCTATAAAATGGGCGCATTAGATCCACTCCTAAGATTACTGGCTCCATGTCTGCCACCAGGCAAAGTTACACATTGATCTTTGCACTCATGCATCTCAGCAAATGATGCTTATAATTGTTTACTCACCATATTAAATTCAGGAAGGTAGCATTGGCACCATGGGTTCTGGATTCAAGTCCTCATACCTCTGTATAGTCATTGCAGCTTTCAACAAAGCACTTTTTTTTCCACAAAAAAAAAATGTTTTTACTAATAAATGATGCAAAAGATAAAAGAGAAACTGGTTTACCATGCCTATAGCTGAAAACAAATAAGTCACAGACTTCAGTCTGAAACTAAGTCAGCATAGCGTAGAAAACATTTCGCAGGTAACCCCCCAATGGACAAGAGAAATCAAAAGGAAGAAGGGTTAGAGGAGGGCTAGAGCAGGGAAAGAACTGAAGAAGAAGAAGAAAAAGACATCTTGACTAATTTTCTTTTCCTACCCTCTAGGGTGATGGACCCGTCTAACAGGTTACAATGAGCCGCTCCAAAGCTACAGCACAGCACGTGGGAAGACATATCCCAGACCCAGCCTGGCCCACATGGGTTGAGAATTCCTGTCTGTTTCCTCTCTGGCAGAGTTTGGGAGGCACAAGGCATCCTTATCTCTCTCCAAACAACTTAGCTCAACTTAGCTAGAAATTTGGTGGTTTTGTTTTTGTTTTTGTTTTCAAATTTAAAAGCAAATAGTTAGGAAACTTTACAAATTAGCTCCCTTTTAGATTCCAGAACAAGTTCAAAGCAGATTTTTCATGATTTCCTATTTTTGAAAAGAAGCTAAAATAGGTGAAATCATTTGTTCTTCCACATTGCATCTTTGTATGTAAAAATGTTCATATTTTAGGAATATTTGCATAACTCAAAAGAATAATATATTAAAATGAAAACCAGTTTTTCAGGAGGCAGAGGTAAGGAATGATTGCTATGTCACATATAATTTTTATGTGAAGCCTGTTTTGGCTAACTTGTCTGGGCTACCTGTAACTAGTTTTATGAGCCTGTCATAATTCGCCAGTGTTCCCACATGTATATTAAATTAAATTAATTAAACTCAGAATTAAAATAATAAATGTTTTGTATGTATCTGTGTGTTAGTGAGGAAGAAAAGAATGACTCATACCTGCTTGCCCTTTTTCTTTTTATGAATGCATTCTTTTATTTTTTTTTTTGCTTATTTATTTACTTATTTTTGGCTTGGTTGATTGATTGGTTGGATTGGGGGGGTTGTTTTGGGTTTTGCTTTTTTGAGACTTTCTATGTAATCTAAGCTGCTATAGAAATCATGGTCTTCTCACAACTACCTTCTCAGTGTGTGCATTACAAGTATTTGCCATCATGCCCAGACCAACTATGTTATTTGATCAAGCATTAAAAAGCTGTAAAAAAATGGCCACATAGAAAAACCTTGTCTGGAAAAAAAAAGAAAGAAAGAAAGAAAGAAAGGAAAGAAGGAAGGAAGGAAGGAAGGAAGGAAGGAAGGAAG